CTCTTCTTCCAGTTGGTAAACTATAGTCTTCCTACTTTTCTGCTGTGTAGTATTTTTTAACAAAAGTTCCTATATTCAGGTGGCACAGTGGTTCACATTGCTGCTTCGCACAGCTGGGCTCTGGGGTTTGATTCCCAATCTGCAGTGCTATCTGTGTGGAGTGTGGGTTTTCTCCAGGTTCTCTGGTCCTCCCACAGTCCACAGACATACTGGTAGGTTATTGTGCTTCTGGGGGAACTGTCTCTGGGGTGATTGTGTGCGTTTGTGTTTGTGCTGTCTGGCTGGTGTCATGTCCAGGGTGTAACCGACCTCGCGCCCATTGCTTGCCAAGATGACCCTGAATTGTGAGAAATGGTAAGAAAACGGATGGAGTTTCTACATTGTCCTGTTGTGACACTTACTCAGTGTTGACTCCCCGCTGGCTTTGTTTTTCAAGATCACCCAGGTCTCAGTGCTCTGGGAGAAACACACGCTTTACTTTTCACCAATAAAACACACCAAAACCAAGATTATGACCAACCTCGCTTCTCCCCAAGTCGCAGGCCACTATCCAAACAAACAGGGAGCATCTCTGCGCCAGTGCTCTGTGGATAGAAGTGGTTTTGGACGTGGTTCAGAGGTAATCTGGCACTGAAACCCGGAGCCTGAGACATTCACACGCAAACACTGAGCTCCACCACAAACGAAACGAAACATAAAACTAAATTTAGGTTGAAACAAGAAGGAAAGTGGCAAGTAGAGGCATGACCCATCCGAAAGCTGTCTACCGGCTGTGTTCGTGGGGAAGCCACAGTCACAATAGCTGGCGGACCGACGTTTTATTTCCAAACAAAAAAAGTCATCCCCTGTCTTGCCTTACAGGCGCACTGAAGGGGATTTTTTTCCATAAAAATCTATCCTTCCTGCTCTAATGCAGCCCTGACAATCGCCTCCTGCTTTCCCGGTGAGTTTCCTGTAGGGGTGCTATTTAAATTATTCCCAGCAACAGGGGGCTTTTCCGTATGTTGCTTTATGAGACAGGAGGCGTCGTCACACACTGGCTCACACGTGCTGTAGCGTTCACTCACGAATCGGGCCAGACTGGAAGAACCTGCAGAGGAAAATGATTAACAATTGGTTTAGCTGGGATGCTCCTCGGTTCGCACTCTTGCTGGTATTACCTGAGCATGGAGAAAATTCCAAAGACTGGAATTAAAAAAATTCCAAAGACCTGTCTTCACACTGGCTTCTATTTCTTAAAAAAAATCTTACCACCTTTTTTTTTAAAGGTCCAAAAATCTTTTAATTAAACATTAAAAGACAATACTTCCACCAAAACATACTGAGTATTAAACTCCACCTATTTATTAATGCATGTTTTTAGAAAAAGGATTTTTCAGATTTTAAACATGGATTGAATATTTTTGGCATCATTTTGATTGATTGTCCCTTCTTGACTGAGAATTTTAAGAAGCTTGGGTGGCATGGTGGAACAGCGGCTCGCACTGCTGGGGCTCTGGGTTTGTTTGCAGACCTGGGGGACTCTCTGTCATGATGCGTCGTTTTGGGCCCTATGCAGACGGTATAATCCGGAAGTGACTGGAATACGACTTCAAGGGAAACATAGACCGCTGGAGCAGGACGGGATGGCAGACAGGGGGGCTGTCACGCCCTCTGCAGCCAGAGGGCGCTCCTTCTCTGTCCTGTCCCTAGTTTCCGGTCTGCTGTCCTTCCTGTCCCTCTCTTTCCCTTGGGCTATATATTTCCGGGTCTTGCACTCTGTCCTCGCTCAGCATTGTCGTTCGGATGTCCTGAGACCCGCCTAGCACCAGGGCGCCCCACGTCCGCTCCCTGAGGGCATAGGTTTCTACACGGCATTCCTGAACTCTTTGCACTAATGAGCCCGGGCCTTTTTCCCGTCTCGCCGCTACGCATATGGGTCTTTTTCCGCTCTCCTGCTCCCCACGGTTAGTCCCTTTGAACGTCCGTGACAGGGGCGTGGCGCAGGGGAACAGGCTCAAAACAGTCCAAACGGAAACCAGGGCACCGTCCAATATCCAAAACCGGGAGGTCCATCCGAGACAAAAACAAGAATTAAAAACCAGGAACGGGGACATGGAACCAGGAAGTTAAAAATAGACTGACGAGGCCAGGCGCTCCGAGCCCCGGACTCAGCAGGCCAGGACGCCGATTGGAAGCCTACGCCCTCAGGTGGCAGCCATGGGGCCTGGCATAGCGGGAGAGCCAGGCTTAAATAAAGACGGACAAAACAGGGGGCAGGTGCATGAAGTCAAATGAAATCTGAAAGGGTTGGAGCACCACTAAGAGGAGGGATTCCGATCGTGATCCGTGTGGAGGTTGTATGTTTTCTTCTGGGTGCTCTTTTTCCTCTCACAGTCCAAAGGTGTACTTGCTTCTGGGAAATTGGCTCTGGTTTCAGTGTGTGTCTGGATTGTGTGTGTGTGTGTGTGAGGGATGAATATAAGGAGCTCCAAAAAGTTCAGTTGTTCTGTGATTTGGTAAACATTTTTTACCCAGAGAAGACGAGAAGATTCCTTCTGTTTCTAGGTTAGTTTTTTTTTAAATCTGTCAAAATCCTTTCTACCCAAAAAGAAAACTTTTTTTTATGATGTAGAGTATAAATTCCCTCCAAGAAACAAACTTCCAAAAAAACATGGTTCACTCTGTAAAGTAAAACAAAACACAAGACTCCTAATATTAAATCATTTGAATGTTTTTTCTTCAATATACTTTCTTTGTAAACATACTGGATTCATTTCAAGTTCGCAGCGCTTGATCTACAGTATTTCTAATGCCTTGAATTCAGTAGTACCTACAAAGAGCAGATTCTTGACTGTATGTTCCTTTTGGAAATGTCCATGAAAGATCATTTGTACTTTTTTATAAAGAGATGATCAGTGCAGTTCCCCAGAAGATCACTGTCCACCCCCCTCTCTCCCAGCTCCAGTGTGAGGCTGGAAGACTCTGTTTTTAATAAACAGACAGTTCAAACTGCAGGGGCTGATCGCCAACAGCCAGGCCTCTGTTAAACTCTAAACTTTACATGAAAACTCTCACATCTCTTTGAACTCTCTCTCTCTCTGGCAGAGCATCCCAGTGTTTATGCGTTCGCCGAGATTGCTGGCGGGACTGGTAGGAGGGCTTTAATTTTTTTTCCCATGCAACCTCCAGTCTTCACAAGCCATTAATGCCCATTCAACATCAAGGCATGACTTTGAAGTGTCTTCTGGCAACTGCCCTTCACTTTCTCTCTCTCTGGATACTGTACAATTAAATAATTATACGGATTGTGAAAAACTGCTTTACCTGGCAATTAAATACATTAGCGAGGCTCGCTATGAAAGGGTCTTAAAGCCCACTGCAAATCTACAGAAGCTCCCAGCACAATGGCCTGGGCTGGCAGGGCTGACACAGCCTGCTGAGCAATCCAGCCACATGGGCACGACTGCAACGGGCACAGCGGCGCCAAGTACCCAGCACAGAGCAGCCCTGCCACCTGTCCCAGGGGTACAAGGAGACGTTTCCTGTTGGCACAGGAAGGCCTAAAAATAAACAAGGGGGTCTGGGGCATTCACGATGGCCCTGTTCTTCACCAGCAGCCATCCCCATTATCTACTGTCTGGACGTCTCTGGAAAAGGCAAGACTTTATAAGGTCTCTGCCTGCGATACGTGCAGAGCTCAGTGACTGGAGCAGAGGACCAGCTCAGCCGTCTCCAGGAGCAGAGGCAAGCAGCAGGGGGAAAATCTCGGGCAACCATGGGGTTTTTCTTCTAGAATGACTTGCTGAGGTGTGTTTCACTTGCTGAGGTGTTGCCTAAGCTGTATAAAACTGCAGCTGAGTAAAACTGCTTTGCTAAACCCCTTGGTGACACCCAGTCACTGGGGTAGGACCTGTGAGAGAAGAAATGGACAGAAAAGTTCACACGCACTGCCAGAATTCAGCACCTGTGCACTTACCCCAAATGCTCCAGGAATGATTTGACACAGAGAAGAGGCTTTGACCCAGGTCTCCTGCAGCTCCGAGTGTTGATGTGCGTAAGTAGTGTGGTCTCTGTGAAACAAACTCGGAAGTGGTGTTTTTCCAGATGCAGGGGATTTGACTTTTTACCTCTGTGCATCTCACCTATCTCACCTAATCATCCGACTGGAGATCCGAGCAGAAAGGTGTGCTCCCAGACAGAAGTTTCGGACCTTCACCACACAGTGGCAGCTGTCCGTCTGCAGATAAACATCCGAGGTGAACCGAATCCGCAGACGTTATCTCCTCTTGTCCACAGGGCTGCTGCACACTGCGAGCCACAGGCGGAACACTAGCGGCCATAGGGAAAAAGAAACTCGTTTGCAGCATTTCAAACCAGAACTTGGTGATTACCCTGCAAAGCGGAGGCTCTTCACTTTGCTCAAAGCATATACTACACAACCTATGGAGCTCAGAAGTTAGAAAAAGGAAGCCGAGTGAAGGAACATGTATAGAAACTGTATAGTGCCCCATATATTCAGAAGGATCGTGAGTGCTCAGGACTGCAACAGGATTACTCACGTCCAATAGTCCAGCATCCTCCATGGCTTCGAAACACCCCAGGTACGCCCCCCAGCGCAATAGAGTAGGGTAATAACTCAGAAGAGGCGCGCCGGCCGAGGAAGGCGCTCGAGTTAGACAATGAGCCACCCGTCTTCCTCACCGCTGGAGGAAACTCTGTCTCCCTTAATAGATCATGTTAATGGCCAATCCAGCAGGAGCCGGATTATGACATTCCAGGACATTATCCACATTCCCACAAGCCCTGCACCGCGGGAGCCACAGTGACATCACCCCCCTCCCCCCAGCACCGCCACAGAACGCCAGGAGAGCCGGGGATTCATTTGAAAAATATAAAATTTTAATAAAGGCTACATCTCTTAATAATTACAATAATTAAAGTACCAAGTAATCTTTTAAATGAAACTCTTTTTTATATATAATGCATAATTTACAGTTTAAGTAGAACATCAAAAAAAAAAAAATGGCATGGAAAAAAAATCCAAAAACATAAAACATGATTACAAGACTTGTAATAAAAGCATAAAAATATCTCTTGAACATAAAACCCTTCTGTAAATGAAGGGAATATTTAACCCTGAATCAGGGTGATGCATGGCAGATTACCTTTGCAGGCACAGGTATGCACTAATAAAACACTAGCAAGAGTGTAATTATTTCTTTTTTACAATATGTACAGAAGCCCGTTTCCATTACACTGTACTATGATACAACACAAAACCACTTGAACTGCAGAGTGACTTTTTCAAAGAAACAGGTCTGAGAATTTGCTGCCATCTGCAATGCCTCTGCATTCGGCAAGAGCAACCGGAGACTGTCCTTGGGACGTGTGAGCAGCAGGATATTGATAAGCTCGCTATTTTTACTTCCTTTAACGCAAATGGTTTATTAGAGTTTGTCTGTGGAGTGACAGTTTGTGCTCCAGGAGTCTTCTCTGAACGGGCGGATCACTTTCCTGTGCAATTCCTGGGCCACGCGAGTAAAGGCACTGGATACAATGTACGATGGAGCTTTCGACTCCGAAACTCCTGTTCACAGCAAGACGGGGAAAAAGCTTTTCAATTCCATTGTACATCAGCAGCATAGGTTAAGACTGGTCGACTCGGACACCAGTGGCAAGCGTGAGTCCTGGACTCTCGGCCAGGCAGGGTGGGGTGTCACTCGGGCCTTGTGTTGGGGACATGAGGACTCTGGCCATGAAAGCAGCTTGTCCCTTGACAGGACTGGGGGTGGGTGGGGGGGGCGTGAGAGTTAAATAAATATTAAAACTTTAGATTAAAAGCAACATTATAAGTGTGCCGGCATACATACACTGTGCATATATGCACAAGCATGCCCGCTTTGAATAAGCGCAACATGAACCAACAGACACGCGATACAGTTTGACGTCAGTACGTTGCAAATCCCCAGAAAGCCACAGTCTCGTGTAAGACAGTCTCACTGCAGGAAGAGTCTGTCCCTCCTCTTGGCCCACAGTGGTCGTGTGTGGAGCTCCCTCTCTCTGCGCCGCCCTGCTCTAAGGCTCATCGGTTTTACAGTCGTCTGTCAATCCTACTTCACCGGCCCGCGTGCCTTCAATGGCCCGCCCTCCTTCTGCTTGCGGCCTCCTGGATCAACCTCTTTAGCTTAAAAAAAACATAGCTTCTTCAAGAGTCCGTTTTCTTCGCGGGGCTGTGTCTCGTGAAAGGAGTTCTCCAGCTTGTCGTCGCTCAGTCGACTCTTTCCACTTTGCCCAGGACTTTGCCCTCGTACATGGGCAGGACGGTGCCGTCATCCCAGACCTCCTCGAACACCGCGCCGCACTCGAACTCGTCGCTGGCTTTCTTGAAGTAGTACCTGCAGCACAGGGAGAGCAGAGGGGGTCACGCCCAGCCGACAGCCCACCGGTCTAATAACCCCGGCACTTCGCACGCACGCGGGAATGGACGAGAAACCGGGACTCATACAGGCGATGGCATGTCACCTGCTGTTCCATTTGCCCCCCGAAAAAATCAAAGAGGGGTTTAAATGAATGATTTGCACAAAACTAAACTACACGTCCAGCTCTGGTCGCTGAAAGACTCGCAGCACAGAGGAATCCCGGCACCATTAGTCATTCAATATGCAAACACTGATGCTCTCCATCCGAGTGCAGCTAACAATCAGGTGGCTTCTGAAGGTGGATCACGAGGGCTAAATAGCTCGAGAAAGGAAGTTCTTGCAAAGGAATAAATTGAGTATAAAAACAATGTCACAGAGGTTGCTGGCGATTTACACAAATGAGGCCCAGTCAGCAATGCTGAACACACAGCCTGAGGGAACAGGAGTCTGAGACTACATCTTCCTAGCCTTCTTGGTGTTATTCTCATTGCACTTATTACAATGTTAATTTTTTTTGAGGTTCTGCTCTGCAAATCCAGCAGCAACTCCAGCCAGAGAGGATGCACTTGAAACAGGCGTGACTGCAGGGCTGGAAGGACGGAGAGGCGTCTGCAGACTCCTCTCTGAGTGCAAGGGGTCAAGTGAGCTCCTGCATTCCATCTCAGTAAGAACACAAGACGCACAGATCTTCTGTGCACAAACATACGAGCGAGCACAAAGAGGCAGCCCTGAGCTAATGTCCAACATTATGCCCGACATGTGAAGAAGCGCTCTATATCATTCCGAAATTAGACGCTCTGCGTTCGTGATTAAAGGTCCCCAAAACCTCCGCGTCTGTACGCTCTCTCTCACTATGGGCTACTGCGTGCTGCCAAATGAAGGGTTTCCACTAGGAAGGCTAACATTTCGGGTGCCAGCGAGTCTGCGTGCTGCCGGCGCACGCCGGCGCGGGCCGCCTCTCGGGCGCTCCGGAGGACGGGGGGGCGCGCCCAGAGGAAGGAGCGGCTCCCGGCTGGACCCGGTGGTCTTGAGAGCCACGGGTTCCTCAGGGGTGAAAGGTCATGCAGCCATGCGCTGAAGCCCCGGAGAGCTGATCGCCGCTGGCCGCTAAGGATTTTGTTTTAAAAGGGGCAGAAAAGGAGCCCTTTCCTGATCCTCTTTGCAATGGAAAATACTTCTCTTTTACAGACGTGCGGTAAAGGGTAGAATACCAACGCGCCTTTTATCCAAACGAGGCTGGCTCAGTCACACCAAACAACGTGTGGAAAACGGCAGTGTTTTTCTCCTCCCCCAGCTGCCCTCGTCTTAATAAACCAGAAGAGACGGCAGCTCTGCTGGTCTTGACGTAATGGAGACCAGCGAGTATCCCACTGTCGGGCCTGTTTCAAACGAGCGGCAGTTAGCGGAAAACAAATAAACCCAGGATCCAGAAAGGAGAAAGTGAAAGCCTTCTCCTACACAGAGGTACGAAGGTCAAGCGCAGTCTGCTGTTTCAGACGCGGGAGGGGCTTCACCTGGTGTGAAGTGTGTGCTGGCACCGATCTGCACGGCCATGGCTGTGAGGACGCCATGGGTCACCCGAAACAAAGTGAAAATGTAAAAAAACAGCAGCGTGACATTTCACTTAATTATAACCTTATTTCTCAGGGGAGAGAAAAGCAACATCCTCCCCCACAAAAGCTTCAAACAAGAAACACTTATTTGCTTGAGAGAGAGAGAAAAAAACTCTTTCCATTGAAACATGTTTAATGTGGCAACATCTTCTCTCTGCTACATCTGGCACCAGTAGTCTGGCAGGAGTGGTGTTACTGTTCTTTGTTGAATTTCTGCCATGTTGAAATTACCCAGCTCCACACATTTTCTGCTATTAAAACCACCAGACTTCAAGCCCTTTCCTTGCTTAAAAAAAGGCTGCAGCATTGTGCACATACCTTTGTCCAGAAACCTGATCTCTTTCAGAGGAGGATTTACAGCCACAATCATACATGCTGACAATCCGTGTCTTATAGCAGTTAATTCACTAGAAACGCTGTAAGGATGAAATGAGTGTTCAATAAACTCGGGGAGATTGGTGATATTTAAGTCTAGGCTAACAAGAACACCTAACGTGCTTTACTCACAACCCTGTTTCAGATCAGGGTGCCAGTACTCTGTACGGTGTCTTGAATATGTATATTTCTGCTGCGCAAACTATATACTGGCTCTTCTAAAGCATAATAGGTGCACATGATGTTGCCTGATCCAATCATTAAAGAATTTTAGAGTCTACCATTTGTACTAGTCTTTGTGCATAAAATGAAAGGCCTGAGCTTCAAAGGCATGCTTATTAAGTGTGCCTTACGATGAAAATCAATGCCAGATGTGACCAAAGCCCTCTAGTTAAAATTCTCTTTCCTTTTCTGTACTGCGCTGGCACCTCACCACCCCCTCTACCTCAGTAGAAACACACACGCATATAGAGGACAAAGGTCGCCTACATCTTAATCAAAATGCAGCCAAAGAAGATCGGATTCAAAGGAAATCTCTTCCAAACTTGGTTGACATTTAATAGTTCTCTCCTGATTCCCCTCCATTTAATGCAGAAGAACATTCTTCTGCTCCCTGCAGAGCGCATTCAGATTTCAGAACCATCTGAGCACTAAGCACGGTGATATCTCCCTGGAAAAAACAGCCGCTCGTTTTGAAATTGGATAACCATTAGGAAGGAGCCAATGACCGCATGGTTAGTAATAAGCAAACAAAATATTTCCATGCGCTCTGGACTGGGGGGTAGAAACGGGGTATTTACCTGTAATTGCCCTTTTTTCGAAGCTGCTCTTTGAAGTGCCCCAGAGTCAAGCTGTGTGTCTTCATCATCCTGCGGTAAGGAATCTCCTCTCCACAGAAGAAGTAAGTGACGACCAGCTCAGTGCCCAGTGTGCTGTGAGCACCAGCCTGCTTCTTTGGCTCTTTGTACCTGCAGAAATGACAGCAATAAGAACAATTCAATGATGAACACTAATGCCTTCTTCCCGCTGTCAGGAGCCCAGAGAGAACCAAACAGCAGCCTGGTCTCGAAGCAGGTAATAAAAGATGCCCAAGGACGTCCCAGAAAAGCACAGGTCTTTGCAGATCAGAACCCACGCTCTTCATAATCACCCCAGACTCGACAAGACGACTTCGGTACGCCCAGCCACCCAGCCCATACAGGAAGTGTCTGCGCTCTCAGAAAACAGGGCTAGACCAGCTCTGGCCCATGCGGGGCAGGAACCCGCTGCAGGGAGCCTGTCTGGAGGCTGCGTAGGGTAGGCCCACAGTAATTTAGTCTTCCTCATTTGTTCCAGCTCTTTGTAGCCCAACTTCAGACAAGCCTGCTAGCAATGACAGCTGGCCGGCTTAAGGTCAGCCAATTAAAAATAAAAGGCCGCAGTCAGGTGGCCCTGTCCTGACTTCAAACAAATCTGGCTGAAGATGTGAGGAATGAGAAACCAAGGATAAGGGGAAAAAAACTAATCATTAAGGTTATGTTAACGTTTTCTGGGCCGATCCTCTCTGAAATATCCAGGCTATCTGCGTGCATCTTTTCATCAGTGCATTGCAGCGATAAATAATTCAACACTGGCTCAAAAGGCAGGTGCACGGGAACCGAAAAGGCCACTTTCTACTTTAAAAGAAACACAGACAAAGAAGAAAAAGAAGACTTACTCTTCTGTTTGAAGCCCAGGAGTTGATAAAGGTGCAGTGCCACTTTGGAAGGACACAGGGTGACTTCGTTCTCTTTGAAGGCTTGACGTTGAATGCCTGAGAGAAAACAAAAATAATGTTAACAAGAGTCTGAGAAATGATATTATGCTCGATTGCGGCCTGTGGGTGAATGAACACAGCTGCAGCCCAGACACTGTGGCGTTTGTCACTCGGTCACCCCCCCAGGGGGCACTGCAGTGGGGAGAGAGGGCTGTGCTGCACAGACTGCGCTCTGCACGTGAAAAGAGCAGCCTGTGTCTTGCACCAGTCCGCAAGGTTAATAACCGCTGACAGGACACAGAGGGCTCGCGCAGGAGCTGTTTGACCACATTCTAAATGAACTGGTGCCTGGCACTTTTTCTTCAAGCCCCAGTGAGTTAGCCCCACACAGCCACCAGCTGTGACTTACAAATGGCAAAGCCGACTCACCGTGCGCTGATGTTGGCCCAGGCCGGATCTGGTAGCTTGGCGTTAGGGCGTGCAATGCAGGGCCAGACTCAGACGCTCAAGGCGCGTGATGCGGGGCGCCGGGCAGGGTGGCGCACGCACACTACAGATTTGTAAAAGGCCGCCGCTGGTGGCCACCGTGCCTTACCTCTGCTTGGGGGGCTTGGAGACCTCTTCCAGGCGGCGGCAGGCCTCCTCCAGCTGCGCCAGGGTGTTGGGGGGAGGGAGGGGGGGCATGGCGGGGTCCTGGATGAAGGGGTGCGCGGGCTGGTGGGTCCGCGGGTGGCTGCCGCCTGCCCAGGAGTGCTGCCGGCCACACCTCTCGCCCGCTGCCGGCCGGGACGATTCCATTCCGTAGGCCTTCTTCACTCCCGGGGCACTGCGGGCAAAGGGACACAGCACAGGTCAGCGTCTGCCCCACCGCCAGCTGTGCAATGAATTGACCGTTTGAAAGGGCCTGGACACGGGGCCTAGTGGGCGGCGCCGCCCCGCTCCGGCTGGGCTCTGCGGGCCGACTCACCAGTGGGCTTTGTGCTTGTTCTGCCTCTCGCTCTCCAGGATCCACTGCCACACGTTCTGCGACCGGTCCGTGCCATCGCTGGGGAGCAGGAGGGGCGTAGGAGGCAGGCTGCCCTCCCCGTTCAGCTGCGCCACGCCGTCACTGGCCTTGCACGCCCTCTTGGACAGCGTGCCTGAGCGCCCCCTGCAGACAGAGGTCAAGAACCACACCACAGTTACACACCACAGGCCGGCTCGACCCCTGTCCCCCACTGCTCCAGCCCGGGCTCCTCTCGCAACCCCTCAGACTCGGAGAAATATCAAACTTGGCAATCGGTTAAAAATTAATGTTTCTTTTTCAGTAAAGATGAAAGGGAACAGTAAAGAAAAAAAAAATCAAAGGGAACCCAAATAAGCTGAAACGTTAGGGGAACAGAGTGAATCAAAGCCCATTCAAGAGCATCTCTTTCACCACGAGCGAACAGACGAGGCTGAGCTGACTCCCTAACGAGCCCTTACTCTTTAAAAACCGCTTCAGAATGTGGGACACTGCTGACGCAACCTCCCCCCACGCCGCTGGGCAGCGCCGCTACTGCCAGGCCCAGCTTTCCCTTTGAACTGGGGCCCCTGCCCCCACCCCCACCTGCACCCCTGCCCCCTGTCCTCACCTCTGCCCCCACCTGAACCCCTCCCCTCTCCCCCCTGCTCCCTGCCCCCCGCCCCCACCCACACCTCTGCCCCCTGCCCTCGCCCCCCTGCCCCTGCCCCTGCCCCAGGCTCCAGCCGCACTCACCCTGCGAACGGCTCCGCGGGGCTCCCGCACTGGTCCTTGGGGTGGCTTCTGCCCCTGGGGTAGGAGCAGTAGTCTGTGCTGCCGGGGCACAGGCACTGCACCCTCTGGGCCGCCTCCACCTCGATCTGCTCCTTGGTCTTGGGGCCCGAGTGGTGGTGGATGTAGTGGTGGTGGACGTGCCGGGTGGACTGCTTGCTGACGAAGGCTTTGTTGCCGCCGCAGCCCAGGGGGTAGGGCAGGGACGGGGAGCCCAGGGCGGGGGGCTGCAGCTTGGGGCCCCCGCCCCGGTGGAAGGGGTGGTCCGGCGAGCGGGAGCGGGGCGAGTGGCGGGCCACGCCGGGGGACTGGCAGCCCGGCGTCTTCAGCACCCGGGACAGGTGCTCGTCCAGGATGGCCTGTGGGTCCTCCTCGTAGGCGCCGGCGGGCAGCAGCCCCAGGGAGCTGGGGGGGTGGTGAGCAGCGGGCAGCTCGCGGGCAGCAGGAAGCAGCTCGGCCTCGTCTCTCTCTTCCTCCTGCGGGCACAGGGAGCGAAGCGGGGGTGAGAAAGGTGCAGGACACCCCTGGCGGGAAGGGGCGCCGACCGGGACACAAACGGGCAGCCCTGCCGCGCTCTGCCAGATTTAAGTGACGAGGCAGATGGGTGTCAGGGTGTGCCATCGTGCCCTTCAGCCATTCACCTTCCCTGTGGAAACGCCACCTTCCGTTTCCAACCGCCAGAAGTGCGACAGGGCGGCTCCCTGTGTGAACCGAGGCGCCCTGCCTTCCCGTGATCGATGAGGACCCGCTGTGGGGCGTCTGACCATGGGCCGACCAGCACAGCGCCTTCGGCAGCAGCCCCTGTGAGCTGCAGTACAGCGCGTTACTGCCAAGTGTCGGCAGGACACGGATCTGAGTGCAGGAGGCTTGCAAACAGCTCTGTTTGCAAAACAATCCGGCACGAACGCCTCTGCAGAGGAGACCATAACCCGCATGGAAGGAACACCTGTTATTCAGCTCCGGCCCCGCCTGTGCCCAGATAAACACCCCACATGCATCTCGGGCTACCGCTTGTGCTGCTGAGCCCCCGAGCTGACCACCGCTGCACGAGAAACATGCGCCCCGCGTCCAGGACTTCCACACACACACGCACACGCCGGTCCACCTCACCTCCTTGATCTGCTGCAGCCGCTCCTCCAGGCTGCTCATGGCCTCCTGCTCCCTCTTGAGCGTCTCCAGCCGGGCGATGAGCTCCGCGGCGAAGGCGGCCGGCTCCACGGGCATCATCTCCTTGGGCAGGCGGTGCGTCCGCTGCAGACACAAGCGGGGAGAGGGCGTGGTGAGCCGGGCGGGCTGCGGGGCGGCATCGCCGGCCCAGCCCGAGGAGCCCAGAGCCGGACGCGCGGCCGGGAAGAGGGGGACGGAGGAGGAGAGCGGGCCGGGACCGGGGGCTTGAGACTCTCCCCTGTCGACGGCAGCTCAGGCTTTATGAGCCGAGGTGGCTCGGCTCACACGGCCTCGCCAAGCCTCCTCCTCCTCCTCCTCCTCTGCCGCCCTGCTGGCTCTGGCATCACTCCGCCCGAGGCAGGAGCAGTTGGTCGCGCTCCGAGGAGCCCCTGCTTGTTCCCTCTGTAGTACAACCAACCCATCAGCAGCAACTCTGAAGTCAGGCGGCTTCAAAGACTGTTGTCAAACATCAAAAACACACTGGGGTAGGAGGGACAGAAGCTTTAACTCTAGGAATAAAAGCGAGATATAAACAGAAAGTAAAAGGGAGAAAATTAAAAAAATAAGTTGGGGAGGCGTCTGGTGGGGGGGGGAGTCAGACGCTTGCGGATCAGAAGAGAAGTGGTACTGTTTCCTGGCTGCACACTGGGCACCTTTGAGGCAGTGTTGTCTCAATAGTGTCCTGTTTTTTTGCTGCTCTTTCTTGATTTCACTCTCTCCCTCTTTTCCTCCTTCTCATCTCTTTGTAGAGAGGATGAAGGGGAAATCGGGAGGGGGGGGACAGCGCCACACCGCTGAGCCCCGCTGCCTCGAGCTGCCCTGCCTCGGGGAGGGGGGCTCTTGAAAGAGCCGGCGAAGACGAGCGAGTGCAGAGCGGGGCTGTTGGCCATTTTATCTCAGATTCGTTTGTCTCCTCATGCCGGGCGTGTGAGGTCACTGGCTCTACTCCTCATCCTCCTCTTCCACTCCGCCACGCCCCCCCACCCCGCTGCCCCAGACCCGGGTCCCACAGGGCGGGGGGGGGGCAGATCACAGTGCCGCCGGGACGAGACCGTCACCCCGCTCTCCCCAGAACCCAACAAGCCCCAGATCATCACGAGAAACAGGCAAATTCATCTGCTGTTAAAGGTAGTAGAAATATCTGCAGTCTTTTAGCAGCCAGAGAGGGGGGGGCGGGATTTTTGTTCATGACAACAGAACCGTAAACATCAACATTAACATGCAAAACATGGATTAAGGGGAAAAAAGGATCTCCCCATGAGGAAAGGCCCACTTTGACTGAGAGAGTAGAAAATTCCCCGCTTTTATCAACCGCGCCTGTGAAAGGAGTCCAGCGGGAAGGAGAGGCGTTAGCCGGAGGGAGCTGGAAACTTACGGGGAAATGAGGTAGAGAAACTTGTCCGTTAATTTTAACGCTCCTGTGCATCTCGCGTTGCAGCTGCTTCTTGCCCATCCTGTAGGGGGGGATCCCATCTCTGCCGGGAAAACAGGAAGAGGGGGTGAGCTCACAGGCTGGGGAAAGTCCCCCAACAGAAGCCCCCCGGCTGCCATCGCCGATTCCACCTTCCCCCAAGCCAGAGGCGAACAGCGCCCCCGAGGGGAGGGGACACTGCGTGCGACTGGATCGGCAGAGGGGCAGAAGGGCAGAGGGGCATCAGCAATGCCCCCTTAGCCCCTCATGTGGCAGATCTGACACTAAGGATCAGGGATGCCAACTAAACAGAGCACCTCGGAGAGCCCAGCATCCCACCCATCTCTCCCCCACCCCCTCTTCCAGAACCAGCTCTCCACAGCCGGTCGCTCACCGGTTCGGGGGCAGTGCCCCTCCTTCATTCACCCAACTGCAAACGTGTCCCGTTGTTTGAATTCTTTGTCCCCCGTCGGGTTTATTAAAAACCCCTTTTCTGTTTCACAATTGAATTTCAGGTATCTGGGTCAAAGCCAATATAACATGTAGGCAAAACAATTTCCCACTCTACAGTACCCAGGCCTGATATTGTAAATGAACGTTTTAATTGAATCACACAAACCGCTGCTCAGAGTTCAGAAGCAAAAACCAGCAAACTCTTGGGTGCTTCTAATAAGCAATCTTAAATTGCATTCCTCTAAAGGAATAAAAAACCTTCTGTGTTTGTTACCATGAAAACGGCATTTGTAAGAACCAACATTTTACACTGGGAGTGTTAAAAAAGAGTAACAGAACTGTCTATAATTGTAAACATGTGGCCTAAAACAGACAAGTCCTACGTTCTTCCTACAAGCCCTGCTTCCCTCTCCCTCTTTTTAAATCTTTTTCTTTTAAGGTCTGCACTCCAGTCAGCTGCCATTTAAGCCAGGCCAATTATCTCAGTCTTTTTTAACTCAGAAGTGTCTGACCCAGCCCAACTGCAGTTTTACTGCCTCTTTGAAATCTCACACTCATGCGCATACACACTCACTCCCATCTTCATTTGGCAACGGCGCTGAAACAAGTCTCTGATCTCACCAACATCAAAAGGCTGGTTTGTAAGATAAGGTAATGTTTGAAGTTCGCACAGCAGCATTCCCCCGCGTCCAAAGTAAATCCATAAATAAGATATAAGCAAAAATCCGCTTTTTTCCTTTTTTCTTTATCTAGAAATGAGATTTAAATTTGCACTGTGCCTTTTAACCATAATAAAAAGACATACTAATCAAATTGTTCCCCCAACGAGAAGGAATCAGCTCTTCTGTTTCACTCAGCAGTGTGAAGCACACTCTGCCAAGCCTCACTACAGTAATGCCCTAAATGCCACACAGCGTTTATGGGAATTTTCTAATTGGAATTTAGACGGCGCACTCTTGTTCTTGAAATTGTCATTAAAAAGACTTATCACAATAGGAACCCAGGGACCATCCAGACTTTTTCACTCAACGAGGAGGGGGTGAATTAAACTGAGGCGAACTCGCAGCCAGAGAGCTCTCTACAGCACGAGGGAACCCGGGCCCAGAACCATCGCTCGCTGCAGCGGCCCGCCATCCTCGCCACCGATACCAGCCGCCCCCCGCCCCACTGCAGTGCACTCAGTCACCCCCCACCCCTCATACATCAGCCACAACAGCGGGGACCCCAGGGGTACAGAGCTATTCAGCAGAGACAGAAACCCCCTGGCCTCTACCCCCTCAGAACCCCCAAAGAAAGAAGAACCCCAACAGCTACCGGTTCGCCCCTGAGCCCCTCGACCCCCCACACACACAAATCCCTCCTTGCAAATATTAATCCCCCCAGCAGTTTAATCAACCAAGCTTCGCCACAATCTCTTCTGGGTCTGCGAGGGCCCGACTATTGTAGTGGCAGGAAGACCAGCCCGGCTCCTTTCACAGGCTGCATTATAGGGATCTCCTATTCACTTGTGCAAGTAATTTTCAAAGCAGCCTGCCTTCCTCTTATCCCCCTAAGCTCCCCTAGACTAACAATAGGCTGAAAGCGATTCAGTTAAGCCTTTCATCCAGCGTGTACTTTATTTCTCCCTCCCTGCTCTCAGCTATATGGCCCTGCAACTGGCACCAGTGCACTGTCAGGGGAGGAGGTGTGTGCATATGTTTTGGTGTGTGGGGGGGGGGACAGGGAGATATGGGGGTGCATGTACTGTCCGTGCTGAGCAGCCCAGGTGCCCTCGCTCTGGTCCAGAAATGACTAACCCCGGAACACATGATCACACTCCACAGGGCCCAGTAGGAAGAAATAAAATCACCATGTGACTAAGCTCTCTTTCATTTACTGCCAAAAGTTTTCAATGAGTTTGTCTTAAGGCCTGCATGTCTCTTCTCCCCTCCCCGCCTCAGTCTCTTTTATTGTATGAAGGAGAACAATTGTATAATTAAAGAAATACTTTCGGTATCTGACTGGCCTAGCGGGGACTGAGGTTATTCGGGGTTATATTTATTTGTTGAGAACGGGAGGGAGAGGGGAACCCCACCCCAGGAAATGGGGGCTTTATCTGCGGAGCATTTTAACACAAACTTCAAAGGCCACTCCACAAGGGTCCGGCAACTCGTTTCAGCCATTGAAACACATAAACCAACAGAAATAGAAATCACAAATTCTGCGCAATGGACTCCAATATGACTGAACAGGGTGATGTTGGAGAGGTTTTTTTTTGTTAGCTGTCAATTAAACACAGGTTGGCCTAAACCTCCCAAGACTCATCACACACCAACATCCAACAGCCTGGAGACCGAAAACAGTCATTCGAATGGCCCAGTTCCATAGAGGTGCAGAGACCTGACCTTGTCCAGCCCTTACAGCACACACATCAAACAGCACTCCTGCTTGTCGGCTTCAGAGTCGTGACATACAAAAAAAGCTCCTTGCCTCACTTCTTGCAGAAATGTGAGGATGGAGAAGCATCAATTAGCACTCCAGAGCAGTATTTAAATGCAGGCACAGCGCAAACACTGGACGACAACCTCAAACAGGCCACGCGTCCGAGCCAACCCCTTCTGCCCCTGCCCTGTGGCCATCGATGGCTGTCGCTGCCTCTTCGCTAATTTATTACACCTCCTTGAGGTTCTGAACGCTTCCAGCCTCAAGGATCCCAGAGCAGTCCCCAGACAGGAGGGGGCCCAGCTCATCCAGTCCGGCCGTGCAGGCCCACAGCACGGCACCCCAGGGTGGAGGAGCTGCTTCACTGGGGCTCTTCCCGGACTGCGGAGCCCAGAGTGGATTTCAGCCTGGGCACCAGGGTAAACACCCCTGCTCTCATAAACACTAGCCTGGGTGGGATCTTTAACGGCCAAGCAGTCAGGACCTCAATGTAACGGTACAGCGTCTCTGGTCACCACACTGGCCCACTGGCACACTGGTTTGGACATTCTGGTCCAGTGGTGAGAGCGCCACCTGCTGGTTTCCCCTGGAGTTCCCGTTTTCACCAGCTTTCCCTCCGAACGGATCCACCCGAAACCTTTCCAGGGGGTCCTGCACTGCCAAGAGCACCCGTCCCCCCCGATCCACAAGGGGGGCTCGGACCCTGACAGACGATGGCACACCAGCACCGCTTCAGGACACCTTCGCCCGGCGTCGCCCCCGAGCCCAGCCTGGCGGAGGGCGCAGCGAAGCCGCGGACACTTACACGCTGCTGTCGGTCATGGACAGGGAGTCGTCGGTCGGGACGTCGCTGGACATCTCGCTGTCGTTGGCGCTGGTGGCGGGCGCGAACCCATAGCCGGAGTTGATGTGGTAGGGGCTAACGGGGTCAGTGCGGCGGCAGGACCTGGGGGGGAACCAGAGGCGTGTCACTGCCCCGCGGACGGGTCGGGGGCCCGGGGCGGCCCGTTTCCGGAAGCCTCGCTGCGGGCCCTGTGCGCGTGTGTCCGAGTGCGCGCACTTCACAACTTCAAAGGCAGCCACCCCTCCCCCCTCTCTCTTTTTGCTGGGGTCTGCTGATTTTAATAATTAGAGTCATTTACACGAGACTCGGGGGCCTCAGGAATGTGACAGCATTGCTCTGCAGGGTTTTTCTTCCCCCCCCCCCCCTTTTAAAACCGTTCTTTCATGTCAGCCCCACCCCCACCCCCACCCGGCAGGCAGCCCCTGTGAAGCCCGAAGTGAGCAACACACTTGTCTCCACCGACAACAGCACTTCCTCGCCCCCCCGTGAGTCGGGGGGTCTCTGGTGCTCTGTGGGCTGTGCCCCCAGCTCGCTCTGGCCCGGGTGAGGGGGCCCCCCCCTCCTGCCGCGGTGCATTCCTGTTGCACCAGAGAGGGGTGGGGGCAGAAAAGTTGAGCTGTGAGCCCGGGCAGGGCCGGAGCGCAGGCGGGCTGGGAAGGGGGAAGGTGGCCTCTTCTTTATGAGAATGCCTACTGCAGAGAGCAGCTCGCAGAGAAGCAGCGGGCTGCAGCCTCAGGCCCCGGCTCCAGCCTGACCTTTGGCGGCTGCTGCGAGGAGTCAGGTATTTCGCACAGCTGGGATCGGATTCTCCCCTCCCCTCGCTGCCTCCCCTCCCCGTCAGCCTGCTCTCGAAAGCGGAGATACAAAGCCATCCGGGGGAACATACAGAGGAATAAAACGAAAGCGGGGGGGGAGAGAGGGAGAGGGAGAGCCCCGAGCCGAGCCGAGCCGTGGCGGCGGCGGGGTTTCTGGACCGGCCAACGGCAGAAAGGACGACCCCAGCACCGAAATGAGTTTCACATGCTCCGGCTGGAGCGGGGGGTGGCTTCGGGGAAAGCTATGGGGCGCACCGATCAAGGTGGGGGACACGGCTCCTTGCGGAAGGCCGGACACCCCACTAGCACAAACCCCACCAGCCCCTCCGCTCGCTCCGGACACAGCGCGCAGGGAGCCGAAGGGCGTGAAGACGCCTGTCCCGCTGACACGGCAGGGCACATCGCTGGGGTTTGAACCTCACAGCCCCCCCGCGCCGTGTGATCGGGAAAACCGCGCAGGCCAGAAACACGCATCGGCGTCTGCAGACGGGTCTCCCCCCCCCCCCGCCTTTATAAGTAGGAGAAAACAACTTCGCTACGGTTTCAAAGAAAAAAAAACCCGAGACAGCCCCAAACACATTAACAAAAGCGATTAGTGCCGTTTTCCTGTAATTATTTTTTTTAAATCGCCACATGATTGTAATTATAGCCAGATGGCGAGGAAGTTTCTGCCGTGCGGACCTGTACGTCCTCGGCGATTCCGGCTGTGGAGAGTGAAGCACTCTCGACTCAGGACAGCTGAGCGACTCATGAAACTTCTCGACTCAGGTCGAACTTGAAGACACCGGGGCTTCCCGTGTCTCCCCTTTTCCCCTTGGGTTCGGAGGGGCCCCAACCGTTTTTTTAACCGGTTAAAAGTGCAGCTGAACATCAAAGAAAACGAAAAGGAGAGAGCTGTCCGGTCTGAGCGGTTTACAGCGCGCCGGGCGCTTGACGTCCGGGCAACAGGAGCGATGCGTCACTGTGCGTCTGCCCCTCCACACGGGCTTTCTATGAAACCGGAGCATTTGCAAAATGTTGTTGTTGTTGTTGTTGTATTCCTGTAAGGATTGGGTATTCCTGCGCCCGCGCATCGCGCGCCTGGAAGGCTTGGGAAGCCGTGCAAGGCGCGCGCGTCCAAGGGGACAGGGAGCGCGCGACGGCCAGCAGAGGGCCGCGCGCTCGGGAGGACAGGTGAGCAGGGGCGGCCGCACCACCCCCCCCGGGCAACGCGCCGCCACCAGCTACCGCCCCCGTTCGCCGGCATCACGACCGCCCGCTCCTCTCTCTCCCACTGCAGCGAGCCCCCCGGCGGGACCATACCGACCCGGGCCGCGGCGAGGAAGGGAAAGTTTCTCCAGGTGCTTTTCAACAAACCGTGCCTGCCGCACACAGCGCCAAGGGACAGTGCGTCCTGTTCGCAAGGTCTGGACTGTTTTAACCGGCTGTTGTACGACGTTTAAACAGCGAGCCCAGAGCTCAAACTATTTACGGTCCCCAAAAGCGGACGAGTTGCACAGGCTCGCCTCCAAACCAGCAGACCCTCGCTCGCCCCATCACATGTTAAAACAAGGAGCCGCCGCTTACCTGTGTCCGCTCTCCAGCACCTCCGCCGCCCGCAGCGAGGCGGTGGCCCGCAGGGCTTTCGCCGATAGCCCCACCACCGGAGGCAGCCCCTCGGCTCGGAAGTCGTGACAGCTCCACTCCTCCTCCTCGTTCAGGGTGGGCAGGTACCCGCACACCACCTTCAGGCTCCCGAGCGCGCCCGCGTGCACGAGCCCGGGGTTCTCGCACCCGGTGCGCACGTACTCGAGGTATATGTCAGACGTCAAAAACATCTGGTAGGCGTTCTCCTCCATGGTGGTTTGGATCTCCGTCTGCGCCTGGTCAAACATCGCGGAGTCTATCTGCTGCTTCTTAATACTATCCCGTATGTAGGTTTTCGTGGCCGGCTTCAGCTGCTTGGCCACGATGCTGTTGTTCTCGATGTACCGCTTGTAGATGGCTTTGGCAACTCGTAGCGTTTTGGTATCCTGCAGGTCCATCTGCCTGAACCCGTTGCAGGCGAACCAGAAGTCCAGCGTGTCCACGCATTTCTCCCGCTCCAGGAAGGTCCTGAACAGGTGGGCTCCGTCCTGGTCGCCCAGGAGCGAGTGCAGGGACTTGGTCCAGCGGGCCAGGGGCGAGTCCGGCGAGGCGCTGCCTTCCGGTTCCCCCAGGCCGCCCTCGTTCCTCCTCGGCGTGGACCCCGGAGCCGCGAGCGGGACGGCTTTATGGGCTTTGCTCTGGGGTCTCATCGCGGAGATCTTGTTCGGGTGGTGGCATGGCGCCTCTCCCTCCTCCCCCGGCACCGGAGGGCGAGGGGCATCTTCTCTGAAGCTGCTGCTGATGGGCTCCGTGAGCAACCTGCTCATGTCTCCGATCTGCAGCACTGGAACGTCTTCGCCGCCGCCTCCTCCTCCTCCGAGCTCCGCGCAGTAATCTCCTCACTCTCTCAAGTCAGCGGGGGATCTTCTGAGAACCCTTCTCCTCTCTGAAACAAAGTATTGATCTAATCAAAACCAGATCCGCCCAACTTCAAAGACAGGCATGAAGTAAACAGGCTTTTCAGACCCTTTCAGGTCTGAGCAGAAAGGAAGAGAGAGAGAGGGGGGGTGCGGGGGGAGTGGAACAGCCCCGCTATCTGTGAAGTTAATCTGCACCGGAGAAATCAAACGCGCTTTTTAAACAAGAAAAAAAAATCAGATGTAGAAGAAATTTAGAACTTGAACGACAGGATACCAGACTATGCGTCTCAAATCCTCTTAAACGGGAGAGTTTAAATGCATTATTTTTTTTTCTTATATGAAGAAACTAGTTTTAACCACAGCTTTTAGAAGCAATTATTTTTTAATAAAGTATGAACGCTAAAAAAGTCGCTGCTGCGGCGGACAACAATAGTTCCGCCGTCAAACGACTGTCAAACTCTGCGCTTTGAGAGGGACAGCAGATCTGACAGATTCCAACTGGCCACAAGGTTCTCCATCGCACCCGGACCCTGTCTGACCTCTCCCGGTCTTTCAAGAGCTGCAGCGGATTCAAATCATTGATCGGGCGTACAGTTCAAAGGCATATAATGAATCGATAAGGCGCGTGAAAGCCCCCACGCCGGGGCGGGCGCCCCCGAGCCAGCTCTCCGGATCGATGCTTTGATCACTTCCCGGGGTTCGCCACCGCTCGGGCTCAGCTCCGCCGCGAGCGGACCCGGGGCGCCCTTCAGCTAAATCACTGCTCGCTCATCGCCTGTCCCGGCTGCGGCTGGCCGGCTAACTCTTCCCGAAATGCTGAAGCGTTTAAAAATATATACACCAGCCAGGCCGTGTCGGACGTCCCCCCCCCAAAAAAAACTGTCCCGGCGCTTCTGGACCCGACGTTCAGCTGACATTAATACTCCGCGGCTGCACGGAGAAAAGTTGCCTCTCGCCGTGTGGTACCTGCGTGTTTTTCACACTCCAGACACCGAACCCGAGCACTCCTTCACAACGCACGTCCGATACCTTCAGTCCCACAAGCACAAGCAAACTGGGGGCGCCAACATCCGAAGCCGGGACGCCGCACGGAAAGCAACCACAACATCTCGTTTTTAAAGATTAAAAAAAGAGACACCCCTCCGACACACATGTGCCTCCCTACAAGACGAGACAAGCTCGCTCTCACCAGCGAAGGCAGCCCTTGGCGCGGAGCGGCGTGTTCTGAGGATGCGCCTACATACCTAACACACGGCAGGCTTCAGAAAGAAGCAAAAACACACACACACACACAGGCGAGAGGTGAGAGTGGGCAACTTCAAGAGCCAAGGTCCTCGTATCTTTCCGTCTCTCCGATCTGGGATCCTTATAAATCCGACAGCAGGAAGAGCCGCGCTGGCCGACGAGCCGGCTGCAGCCCCGAGTGCCCCGCAAGTGCGGTTCCGTGCCCGCAGATCCCGGGCGCTGGGCAGGCTGGTCTCCGGTCCCGCCGTGCCCCCGTCCTGCTCAACAAAGTCCCCTCGAGGGCTCCGGCAGGACCCTCTCTTCTGAGCGAGGAGGGTGGGGTGCGAGCGAGCACACACATATCACACATCTCGCACTTTTTTTTTAAACAATCCTTTTCTTTTTTTAAAATTAAAAAAAAAAATCTTCTCTTACACACACCCCCCCACCACCACCACCAAATTAAAATAAAATAAAGAAACCGAACGCAGACGCACGCGAAGATCGATCTATATGAACAAAACATCAGTTTCTACCTTCTTTTTAAATTTCGCCCAAAGCCAGAGAGAAAATAGCCTCTCTTCCCCCCCGCACTTCAAAGCCAGCCAGCAGCACATCAAAGGAACAGAGAGGGGCCAGCGCCAGGATCGCATACATTCTTTTAACTTACCATCGACCCATGAGTTCACTCCTCCGAAGAAATATCCCTCGTCTTCACCCGCAAAAAGGGGGAAAAAAAAGTAAATCCACAATCTCCCGTGCCCCGGAGTCCCTGGCGTTCCCGTCGCTGTTTTATTATTTGCAGGGGAAAAAAAAAAACACAGAGAAAGAGCGGGCGAAAAAATTGTGACTTTCTCCCCCCCTGAACGGACCCGTTCCGCCCGCTGCTCCCCACTCGCGTCCCGGCGCTGCTCGCCAGCCTCAGCGCTGCTCTAGGCGGACCGGGCTGCGGGTTTAACTGCGGACATCAAAGCGAGGAACCGACGGCCCGGTCCCGAAAGGTGCATAGAAAAATAATGAGCTCCCCTCGCCTCTTCGCGTGCGGAAAAACACCCCGCGGTCGGTGTCGGCGGTGCCCGTCTCCAGCCCACAGCGCGCTGCCCGCCCGGCACTGCCGAGCTCCTTTGATTTGTCTTCCGAAAGGCGCTCGAAAGGCTTTATTCGAAAACGAAGTTACTACTAAGTTGCAAGGACCTTATCAAAGACTAGCAATCTTGAGCCAGCTCCCTGAGGCTTTGGGACGTCAGGAGTAAGTGATCTGCCGCCCCAATAGCATTATCCCCGCAATCCTTCTGTTGCTACATCAACTTTAAAGACACAGGCCCCTCTTTTCTCTAAAGACGTGCACACACACATATATATATTTTTGTCAGATTTTAACCGTTTCGTGCCCGGCATGCACGGCAGAAGAAGGCAGACGCGATCCTGCTTCCTGCTCCAACGCGTATTTCCACCAGCGTGTTTTTACCGACACTTTTCTCTCTGTAACTCTTTATAATGCCCGATTGAACAACAACAAAAAAGCCCAGGCCGGTGGGGGAGAGTCTTCCTGTTTGTAATATGGGATGGGTTCCGAGCGTCACTGCGAGGATGCGCAACCAGGAGATGAGCTACTGATCTTACGGCCGTGGCACTTCAAAGAATATATTGTTGCTTTGATGTTGAACATTAACTTTAAAGAACAAGATATAATTAAATAAATGAATTCTTAAAGGGGGAGTGGGGGGTGTAGTCTAAAGCAGCCAACAGCGCCGACCTCTGAGTCTATCATTTAAATACATTTCTTAGAAGGTTTTTTTTGTTACATTTATATTTTTATCAGTGATTCGAATGACTAGTTTATCCTCCTCCCCGTGGTATTCCTTTAACCCCACTACCAACCAGAAACACACACCCATTCTGAAACATTTTCTGAAACATTGAACAGCTCACTGGTTAAAACTGTATCCAGCACATGACGTTATATTGGGCACCAGCAGTCAGGATCATGTTTTTTCTCTGCGGGGAAGAGGTTAAGGTCGAATTCTACATGTCTGAACACGGGGGTTCGGCTGTATATTATGGACTCCAGGAAGGTGGAGTCCTTTTTTTTCTAGTTATATAGCTGTAGGTCGGAACATCCCCATCTTCAATTGTTAAATAGTTATTGGTGTTGTGAAGTTTTATATATAAATATCAATGACTTCAAAAATAGCACCCATTGTAATCGTCCCCCAGTGGCCAAGGAGATGTGATCATACACACACACACATATATATAAATATACTGGTATTCACAATCGGACATTTAATAAATGCATCAGTGTGGAGCGAGAGTGAGTTTTAACGGTAGCTTATGCCCCAGGGCACAGCAGAGCAAAACGATTAAAGTGCGCTAGGTAATTGTAAACTTCAGTTTCATCACAGTTTATACTTAACTCACAATAATAAACCCTTTTCAGCGCGGGTCTGGGTAACCTATCATTAGCGTTTCATTCAAAGTTTTTTCCCCCTGCAAACTACAAGAAAGTCGCGCAGTTCTGTTTTAATTTAACCCCGAGCGCCTGTACGCAGAAACGCGCGCAATGCATTTACAATGTACAGTAAATAATAATTAGCGACTCGGTCTCGTGCAGCCCTGCTCCAGTCGTTTTAATTGCAGTTGCTCGCCGCGCTCGCGTTCCTGAGCGGCATTTTCTGCATATCTGGTCGAACACGCAAACAATAACCCGCTCCCTTTGATGTTTGTCACAGACAGCAGAACAAAGAGGCTGTAGGAAATTGCTTCAGAGTTTCAGCTTCTTTTTCGCAATTGGATGAGGGATGTTTACTTCCCCGTCTAGGCAGATACCCCTTCATTTCACACGAAAACCTCTCCTTTTTTAAAAAAAAAAAATCACGCTTGTGTAATTATTATAGACCACTGATCAAACTCTCCTGCCGGCGTTTAGCGCCGAGTGAAGATACAACAAAAGCGTTGAACTATCGGGAGATATTTTCATTTTCGCGTGTCGACTCCTCCAGCCCATTAAGGAGCTTTCCTTTGAACAGTATCTAAACTTCGCGGTGTGTTCTTGTAGATTAAAACTTGGAAGTATGCTGACCACGCTCAGCTGCGGGGACACGGACGGAAACGCGGCCGAGTTAAATGATAAATTCGTGCGGATCATGGGTTTATCCCGAACGTGCGGGGAATGTGTCAGCAACACAACTTTTACCCGAGTGCATTAGATAACGCGTTGGTTCTGGCGTAATTACACTGCAGTTTACTGATTAATGACAAATAACTGCGTGTGTATGAAAGATGCGACCGTGCTGTCGGTGAAAACAGTTGTCGGGGTAAAATCAGAAACACATTTGGTTCGGGATACAGCAAGCAAACGTGAATGAATGCATAATAACCCTAGCTAAAAACACAGTTACACAAACCTACTCGTAGTACCGCTTTCACCCATTTCTCTCATTCGTTTTACAGTCGCTGTAAAGGCCCAGGTTTAATCTCCGTCCATCCATTTTCTAACCGATCGTCCAATTCAGGGTCATGGGGCACCCGGAGCCTATCCCAGCAAGCAACTGGTGCAAAGCAGGGTACAGCCTGGACGGCACACCAGTGCCCCGCTGGGCACACACACACTCACGCCAGCGCCAATTTCCCCAGAAGCCAGTTAACCTACCAGAACTGTGGGTGGAAACCAGAGCACCCAGAGGAAACCCATTCAAACACAAGAAG